AGTGATCAGAGTAAAGAAGGAGCCCTATAAGAAATGACACTTTTCATTACGCAGTGTAATTAATCGAGCATTTGGTATATGAAAAAGGAAATGGGTTATACTCAGAGATATACATACATATTCTATCAAAAAATAGGTGAAGAAATTTATTGTAACGACTGCATTCCATAATTTTATATGGAGGCATCCATCCCAAGATATCGATTTCAGGCTCTTAGATAATGATCCTACTTGCATGCCTGAGGAAGCTAACCAACATCAAACCAGAACTTCGGTGCAATAAGAGGGCTTTAGGATAAACGAGCACAATACTTCTGAGAAGAAAGCATTGAGAAGATAATAAAGTTGAGAGAAGATATTACTGATGCAATGATAAGTGCAACGATTGTAATTATATAGCATCACCTAGTTATTCGTAGTTGCTGACTCATATTTCGTCTCTATGTTTTCTCTAGATGTTTTTTTTCCAAAATATTGGCACTAATTTGTATTATAACTTTCTTTTTTATGTATCGACAAACTTTAATTCTTAATTATAAGAATGCTTATATTTTTTATAAAAATTTGGAATGTTCTATCTACTATTTTTTTTAATTAGAACAATTTTGTATTATTATAACAAAAAATATGAGCTCAAGATCATCAAGCACTTCGAAAGTTCTGTTAACAAAAAATATGAGCTCAAGATCATCAAGCACTTTGAAAGTTCTGCTCTATTATTGTGGCGATAAGTGTGTTCAGTACAAGTCCAAAAGAGAAAACGGCTACGGGAGAAGATTCTATTCTTATCCCAGAAACACAACTCCGACGGATTGCGACATCTTGCACTAGGTTGATGATACTGACGAGGACCCTCCAAGCCATGATCAGTCAAGAAGAGATGCAGGGATGGAGAGGAGATTGTCCCGAAGACTTGATCAATTTCAAGACCAACATCATTCTAGGCTTGTTGACTATGGTTGTTGTCCTCATTATTGTAGTCATTTACTTCAAATAACTTATCATTTTTTCAATATACTATAGTATTTTGAGCTGGACTGTTAATTTTTCTGATAGTACGACATCTTTTTATTATTTAATTCTGAATATTCTGAAAACTGCACTTATTTCAATTTATTACATATCTAAGGGGAAAATAGTCTTTCTCATAAAAAAACAACAGCAACACAACAGATCTCTTAAATAGATACATGTTTCTTCATCAACAGCTTTCTGACAGTTCCTGAAAAGCTACTTCTTCAGGAAGCAGCTTTACAACAGCCTCTTAGAAAAGCAACAGCCGCCCAAATGCACCCTAGATCAAATCAAATGCAAATAGGCTATTCACAAGCCAATTTGAACACGAATTGAACATGAACAAAACAAAAATTTGAAAGAGGCATATAGGAACAAGCCTTAGACTCGCTCAATCTCGGCTCATTTACACCCCTAGTAGTCGTAAATGCAAATAGGCTATTCACAAGCCAATTTGAACACAAATTGAACACGAACAATACAAAAATTTGAAGGAGGCATATAGGAACAAGCCTTAGACTCGTTCAAGCTCGGCTCGTTTACACCCCTAGTAGTCAAAAAAAAAGTTGAAACGTCCTTGCAAGACCTTTTTTGTCCCAAAACCTTAGGACTGATGAGGAGATTTGTTTCAAGCGCATAGGAAGTCTAGCAATGATTTTGATTTCACAAACAAGTTGCTTCCCTCCCTATGGTGTTCATAGTGTGCATCATTCCCAAAGCAAATCAACCTTTTGCACGTGCATTTTGAATTAAAGGAATTGGAAGAGGTAAGCTTGACAAAGGAGCCTATCGACTCCTTGAGTTGATGCTTAGCCTCAACAGCATACATGCTAAGGTAAAAGTCAATGCGTTGGTTATGACTTCTTAAGTTTGGCTTAAGCAAGTTAAGACACTAGGTAAGGCTTATCATCTTGTATAGCAATTAGCAAAAAGAACAAATGCATTATGTGAAGTGTACTCAGATCATGCCATTGCTTCCTCTGACATAATTGTTCAGAAAGATCAGAATTTTTAGATTGATCATCATTTTTGAAGCATTGATCCCAGATATTGTTTAATTCTTTATTAAATGTTTGAGAGAATTATGATCAATGAGCATTGCCAACCTCATCAATAGTAAATAGGTGCCTCAACATGGTTAATAAATCTTACATAAGTACACAATTTCTAACATCAAGGTCACAAAATAGTTTAAGGCAAAGCCCCCCAATAAAAAATTCCCACAAGAAATTCTAGATCAACTCCTAAAATTCACCATTCCTTCGATTGAGAATCTTAAAAAATATTCTTTCACCGATCATCCCTCTTCCTAAAAAATGCTAAAAGATGATAGGAATCATTGATACTTCTTCTGTTTTGTGATGATTTGATCAACAAACAGCCAAGCAAACTACATGAATATATCATTGACACTATAAGAAGGGGGATACAAATATGTTTGAGCTTGCTCCTTGAGCAAACCAGGCAACAATTTGCAGAGGATTGAGTCTATGGCTTATTGAATACATAAGATAATAATGATTAAATTGCTAAAAAGGATTTTTGGACACATCATAAGTGCCAATAGTGGGCATCATAAACCATGAAGGGATAGTAAGACTAAACACGAGGTGTTGGTGGCCTCTTTAAGTTATTTGGATATGAACTTGAGATCTCGTATGGCCCAGTACATGAGAATAAGATCACGAATGCACTATCGAGGACCATGGAGGAGCCATAACTTACAGTTTTATTATTACCCAAGGTCTTAGAATGGGAAGAGTTTAGACACAAGAGTGAATAGAATGAGGGGCTGAGAAAGATCAATGCAAAGTAGCTATAGGATCCAAACAATCATGCAAGGTATGCACTGAGGGGAAAACTACTCTACCAGGGAGGATTCATATTATCGAGGGTATCGGGGTACATCTCTAAACTGTTGCAGGAATTTCACAACAATGCAATTGGGAGGCACTCAGGGTACAGAAGACATACATTGGATTATCGGGAGAGCTATATTGGGTGGGGATGCGTAGAGATGTAGAAGACAATGAGGGTTACTACAGCCCTTAGCATTAATTGAGAAAGTCTGAGAGGAGGTGATGATGGATTTTATGGAGGGGTTGACATGATCAAAAAGATTTGTTGTGATATTGGTGGTAGTGGGTTACTTAAGCAAGTATATGTACATTTCATTCCATTGCGACACTCTTACATTGTTGTCTCAGTCGTTGTTGTGTTGATATGAGAAGTGGTTTGTTAGTATAGTGTTCCAAAATCTATTATATTTGATGGGGATAAGGTATTTGTTAGCCATTTTTTTAAGGAACAATTCAAATTACAACAGACGGTCCTAAATAGTACAACATCAATGTGATTTATCTGCATTATTTTGTATCAGATATGCCAATGCTTTGGGAAAGGTGGATTGTTTGGGCTTAAGTATTGATACAACACTTCATACCACACTTCAGCACATACCAATCCGACTATGACTTTGTATGGGCGGGATCCACCCTATCTAATACACTATGAAATTAGTAATACACTGGTATCTAGTGTAAACAAGTACTTGGAGGAGATGGACAGAATATTGGCAGAGCTCAAGGAACATCTACTGAGGGCCCAAAAGATCATGAAGAGAATGGTTGATGGACATAAAAGGGAGGTACAATTTGAGCTTAGGAACATGATTTATTAGAAGCTAGGAACTTACCGGCATAAGCCATTGGCCAGGAGGAGCAAGAAGCTTTCTCCACCATATTTTGGACCCTATGAGATTGTGGCATGCATTGTAGTGCATACCGTCTGAGGTTACCACCATCATCATCATTGCATTCAGTTTTTCATGTATCACAGCTGAAACATACTATCAGATACCACACACCTTAGTCAACTACTAATGCTGACAGAGGACATGCAAGCCATTTTGGAATCTTTGGAGATAGAAGGGGAGTGGCGAAGAGTAACTGGGGCAATGTAGATGTTAATTAAGTGAAAATATTTGTCAAATTATGATACAAATTGGGAACTATATAAAGTGATCCAGAAGCATTTTCCATCATTCCACCTTAAAGACAATGTGCTTCTTGGTGAGGGGAGTCTTGTTACGTCGGTCACTCCTAGATCGGTTTGGACCGACCCAACCCAGCCAGACCAGCCATCCGAGCCTATGGGGCAGAAACCACAAGTTTCGTCTCGGATGATTCCAACCCCCGAGTGGGGCCACACCAAAAGAGGAATTGGAGGAAAATTTTGAATGTGTTTTGGGAGTGTTTTATTAGAACTAATCACCTAGGATTTGTTTTTATGTTTAGATTCATGCAGTTTTCTCTTTAACTTCTTGTTCCTAGTGGCGCCTAGGATTTGTGGAGAGTAAATCAACCTCTCGAATTGTAGATCACCTATTGTATCATATTTGTTTGCTTGAAGAGTAATCAAATTAGTCATAATTTGGGGTTTTCCCACATGTTTCTTGCAATTTATTCATTAATTTTTGCTCTGATTCGTATCACATATATATTCAATAAATATGACAAAAGTAATAATCTCACCTCAAGTTTGTCTTTTGCCTCGCTATTGAACGTTTTGCAAAGAATCTCATAGCTCTTTTCAGATCCTGACTGAAAAAGAAAATGACAAGATTATACGGATTAAATAAATCCACAATAAAATTTTCCTGCTCAAAATGATGAGAAAGAAATTACCCTTACCAGTGGATTAACTTTTGAGGGTGAAATTGTTGAGATTACATACCTGGGGCCATAGAAATAAAAACTTAAATAAAGCATTATATACATACAACTATATGCCAGAGCATAGTTATGCAGTGACCTACCACGTACCTCAGTTTATTTGTATAGAAATTTAAAGCCAAGATGTTTGCCTTCTGCACTGTTAAGATAACAGCTCCCATCTGATTCTGAGGAACATTTAAATTGCTATGTGAGGGCTATATCAATTTTCCAAGCCATGAAGATGAGAGAAGTTTAATGGAGCACAAACATATCTGATTGGCGAGGGAAAAGACGGTTGAAAAATAAGCATAGGAACTAGCTTTTTATTTAGCAGAAATTTCTGCCATGCAGAGATATCAAAAGCATGGAAACCGTATATATAGCAATGTGCCATGAAAAATTTAATTATGGTAAACAAATAATGGGAGAACGGTGAACAGGCATTGATATTTGAGATGATGACTTGATATGAAAATAATACTTACAGAAAAATGACTAGATATTAAGAGAAATTGAAAAAAAAAAGGATAATTAACAGCTAAATCAGTGAGGTTAGCACATATCCAAAAGCCCATCATTCATTAAAATGGTGAAATGCCTCAGGAATGTTGCACGGTAATAGAACAACAAAAGGCTTGAATGCAATTTTATAAAAATGCAATTAACCCAAATATATTGCATAGATTTGAGAAGTAATTGATAGACATTGATAGACAGATTTAGTGTTACAGAAATAAGAACTTTAAGATAGATATGCAGTAAAACTAAAAACAGCATCCTAGAAATGAATATTCATAAATATAACAACAAGTAAATGGGATAAGGGTAATTACGATGATAATAAATCTTACAGAGCCTTATTTATGTGATAGGTTGTCAATCAAAACCAAATAATTATCATAATAAATGTAAAAAAAAAAAAGATAATATAATTTGGCTACATATAATGAAAAAAAAATATAATATCAAAAAAATGTGATAAATTGGATTTATCAACCAAATGTAGTGTTCAAATTACTATGCTGACGAGAAAAAATATTTGCACACAAAAGTCAAGTTTCGAATGGATGACCGGGCCTAATTTGTTATCATCCAAAATGAGAGAAATGTAGGAAAGGGTTTCTTGAAAGGCAGTAAGGATAGGGTGAGAAGGCTGTCAAACAAATGAAGAAAGATATAAAGAACCCATCCGATAGAATAATAAAACTTAAACAAAGTGATATAAGATTAAGTAGACCAGGCCATAAAACTCTTCATTAGATGCAAGAGCTGCTCTGATACAAAATTTTATAATATGGAAGGCATTAAGAATTAAGATGAAACCTTCATACAGATATGAAAATGATATTATCTAAAAGATAACAAAGATAATTGGAAGAAGGAAGAAAAAATGAGAAAATCAATTTAAATAAAGAAGAATGAAAGAGAGCTGAAACAATGAGACGAGCAAATTTCCACGGGTTCTGAAAGCTTTATGATTGAAACCAGAAGGACTTCATATCCATGAAAAGAACTTTTATTCCTCATTCATCTTTATATCATAATTTTAAGGAACTTAATTTAAAAAATAGTCCTCAATAGCTAATTAGCCATAAGGTTAATTATAAAGATAATCCTCTTGGATAACTAATCGACAAAATAATGTTTGACAAAACGGATCATGAGAAAAATAAAATAATCAAGAAGTCCAAATGACATAATGACACAGATAACATAAGGAGATGTAAGAAAATGGTTTCTAGGTCCCAAAAAGTGCAAGCTTCTATGAATGCTAAAATGTAGAGGAAGTAAACTCTGAAGACAGCAAGCTTATTGCTATCAACAAAATTCTAGAGGTAGAAGTTTAGTTGAAAACCAAAAAAATACCTTCCGTGCAATAAGTTCAATCAGTTGCATCAAAAACTTCCCTAACCCCTTTCCTCTAGCACAAGTATCCAGCTGAAGCTCATAGACATAAAGAACAGGTATATCTTCTTCAGCAATAAAACGATAATGCACAAAACCAACTAAGGGGTCTCCATCACCAGTCCAGCAGTTCATTCTACCATTCTCCTTGAAATAACTATCATCATGAACCACATTTGAAGATTCCCGAACAAATATGTATCGTGCTTCTGGAGCAACCATTTCCCTACGTTTCACCTTCTCCTCCCTTGGCCAGTCTTGACCGTACGGGCCTTCCATATTAACCTATAGATTTAACAGGTTTGCAACGCCAAATTGAGTCATTCTTGGATGGGAACAGTTTAAAACCTTCAATGAGGTAAAAAAAAGGAATATTAACCTTAAGAAGATTCTGGATGTACTTCTTTATAGAAGAAGATAGCTGATCACCAAATCCTGAGTTGAAGTAGACAGATAAACCTGATCATTATTAAACACAACACCATTGCTTAATAAACAGATTCACAAGAGGATATCAGCAAATTAAAACAGGTCTACAAAAGAGAATTGACAAACATATCAATATATAGGACACTCATCAAGAAGGAGAAAAAGCACATGAAAAATTGATAATATAATAAACTGAAAGGAGAAACTACAGTTCTAAAGTGTGCTTCTTAGTTACCATTCCTATCGTAGTGAGAGAAAGCCATAAAAGAAGCTAGATGATCCTTGATGATTGATGCTGACTTTATAATATCATCAATTGCCTTTTTCATCTCCAATACCTAGAAACACATGAAAACTGTTAGCCCTTAGCATAAGTTTCATATAATTTGGAAGCAAAAGGAAACCAATGAAACTCATAAAAACGGCAGAAATGATAAAAAAAAAGCATGCACAAAATTCTCAAGTTAAAAAAAACATGAACTTATGAAAGAACTCCATGAAGATAATCGGCATTCAATATTCAACAAAAACAACATAATTTTTTAAATCCATTAGGAATGGTGCGCTAGCTCAGAAGTACATTATTAAGACCTATTTCAGATTGTCCATCTCTAGCAATCAGAGTAACAGAGCTTGAACAGCATTCAAGCCTTTCCAGCTCCAACAACATTCCTCGTGGTGATGTTGTATAATGGTTTTAAGCTTGCCATATCAAGCTAGCAGTTTTCTCAGGCAGGCAAAAAAATTGCTGTATTTTCATATTATTATAGATATTCAACAACTTATCTACTAGATCCTTCATTTAGATTCTCAAAAAGCATTCTAGGCACCGGAGTAAACAATGATAGATCAAGATATAAAAAAATGATTGCATGACTCTTAAATTTAACAGTCTGCCAGAAGTACAACTATGCAAGTGCTAAGTTTTTAGATTAGCTAGCATAATGTTAAAAGATTTGAAGAATATGTTGCTATGAAAATAGACTCTTTTTATCTCTATTTTGGACTCCACATAATGAGATCTAGACCTGTTTTCACTATTGATACATTGAAGCTTGAGCAAAATGCTGGCATGCAAAGTATACAAGCACCTTAGCTAATAATTTGATGATTAATTTTTGCTTCTCAATCAATGGAAACGTACCCAGTGCAATTTACCCAGAGAATATAAATATATAAAAATAGTTGAGATGCCTCTTCTTTACTCCATCCCTCATTCTATTTAATTCCTCTTATTCTCCGTGATGAAATTATCCTCTAATGTCAGATCTCAAGCAAAGCATAAGCCTCACCTTCTGTGCACTGCAATAGCCAAAGAGAATATCAAGCTTCTGATAAAACCAGTTGTATTGAATTCTCCATTAAATGTCTACCATCCATTGATTCTATTGACATGAGAATTCTATAAAGCAGCACAAATCGGGCAAACATATCTTGCATCATCTCTAGGTCAAATATGTATTTCAAACTTTATGTTCTTTACAAAACAACTAAATCGATATTGATTTTTTTATATTGTTTCTATTTCCACAAGCCCTGACTTCGATTCAAATGATAATACAATGGTACACTTGTTATATACTCATATGACCATTAAGAACTGCGTTCGTTGGCTCAACTACCACATGATAGCAAGGCTAGCACATGAATCCCAAAGCACTGTTAAAGAGTACAACAATTTTATGAGTTCTATAGTTTCATGAAAATCAAAAAGTGGCCTCAATAAACCATCGGGCACAGTGGCATAACCAAAACTTGAAGAGAGGAATGGCGAAATAAAAAATCAAAGGGTGAGTAGTACTTACGATAAAAAGTTTCATCTACTTAAAATTTTAGAATTATTATAAATATAATAAGTAAATAAAAATATTTTTAATATTAAATTTTTATAAAGTATTTAAATTTAGAGGAACCAAAGTTTTTAACAAATTATATGACATTAAAGAGTCTAGTAAAATCTAGGAATTGCGAGTGCCTCCACAAGTGCCCCTTGGTTCCTCCACTAATCGGGATTGGACATAAGCATGTTAGTTTGCCCTGACAAAACAGGCTATCTAGTTAACACAGTCAAAGAGTGTCCTAAGTTGGAAGAAAGGATCATACAAAACACCTAGACACTTCCCCACAACAATGTCCATAGATACACATAATCCCTGTATTCCAACATCTCAACAACCTCTCATAGCATCTAAAAGACAGAGGAAGGTTTCCCTACCTAGAGAAGGCCATCACTTATATTTGCTTTGACTTTATTTTCGGAGGAGGCCTCAGAACATACCGATGACGGTCGTTTTACATTCCAACTTACGGCTCGTCTCTCTGAGAATGCACAGCCCGAACCTCTTTAGCTGGACAGGCAACCCACAATTATTTAACCTCCTTATCCTCTGGCTGAATCCGTTAGGCATAACTTGCGATCTGACGAACCGAATAGCTTCTGTGGATGGTGATGGTAAAAATTACTAAAATTCATCGCCAAACCATTGGTAATGACCCAAATGTGAGGGGCTAGGGAAAAAAAATGCAGTAAACGAAAGCAAGAAAATAGTGGGTGCTAAGCTGCTAGCTAACTTCTTGATATAAATGTTTAAAGTCGTTAAAATTCTGAAATTGAATCCTGCATTAAGTTTATGCTTCGATACTTCACACATTCACACGGAAAAACTTCAAAATACCTCCTTCCGCCTTAATTTCTTATCTTTGCTGCTCTGAATCCTCTTGGAATCCATTTTCACACGATACACCTCAAACACGAAAAACCACACAGGAACAAAGGGAGAAGCGGAGCGCACATAAGCGGGGAGCACAGGTTTCGGGGACGTAATCGAAAAAAAAAAACAGAATAGTCGCGGCTACTAGCCAATTACCGAGGCGCACCTGAAAGCACAGTCCATTATAAAGTAATTGCATCCGAACAGTAGGGTATTGTGTTTAGCTCATAATAGCCTGGGTAGAAAATAAAATTTCGTGAAATTACATTAATAATATTACGGACGGCAGAATAACATCGATAATTCTTACATAACATCAGATAAACACCTGCAATAATATCCAAGTCACCCAAATAGAGCGGGCATTACTCAGGTGTTATTGCAGGTTAGTGTTATTGTTGTATTATCAGGTTTTGTTCTGTTGTGTTATTAGTGTTATTGGGGTGTTATCCTGGTATTATTGAATAATACTGCAGAATAACACCGATAACATAATATCGTTCTTGTATTATTGATGTTATTTCGCATTGTTATTGGTGTTATTAGGTTTTAGATATGTAAATACATAAGAATTGTGTGCCACATTTGTAGATTCCCTTCAAAATATAGTTTAAACTTATTTACTAGTTTTTTTATCAAGTTCAAGTTGTAATTTTATATATTTTTTATGCATTGATTCAAATGTATATGTTTATTAGCATTATTTATATCATTTGATGACATAAAAATTATTATTTAAATATTTATAATTTATTTATCTAGTTATTTGTTTGATTTTTTTATAGTACTTTTACTTCAAAATAACATACATATGCATATGATATATGAGAATTGATACTTGAATACAAAAGAAATGTTCAAATAAGTAATTAAATTATCATTAAATATATATTTTATCAAGAACTTAATCTTCCACCTATTAAACAGTAAATTATCATCAATAAATATACATTTTATTGAGTGCACCAATTTGCTTATAGCTCTAATTTATTTATTTTATGTTTTATATCTTGAGTTGTAAATGAACAAAGTAGAGCTAAAACTAGTGTAAAGAAAAGTTTATAAAGTTGTATGAGTGTACTATTTGATATGCATCTTTTTACCGTTATGAACAATTATTATAAATTTTCCAATTATAAAAATTTATAGCAAGTGTACGGACATAAATATAATTTTTTTTCTTTATATAATATTTTATATTTAATATTTTGCGATGTTATTGTCGTGGAATAACATCGATAATACTAAAAACACCACGGAATAACACCCGAGTAACACCGATAGCACCAGGGGTTTTACTTGATGTTATTCCGCCGTATTATTAGTGTTATCGGTGTTATTTTGCGGTGTCACACTACGGAATAACACCCATAATACCGCGGACTGAGGAATAACACGGATAACACAACTGGTGCTACTCGAGTGTTATTCTGCGGTGTTATACTGCGGAATAACACCAATAACACCATGGAATATTGAGTATATTTATGTTTTAATTTATTTATTAATTTATTTATTTCTTTTTGAACCAACTCAAACCGAACACTAGCAAAAAATATTTGTTCGTGTCCAGCTCATTTATATTTCGAGCTTAAAAATATGTTCGTGTTCTGCTCGTTAAGCTTAACGAACTAGCCGAACACGAGTTGTGCGCGAACAACGAGCTATTTTGACAGCCCTACCGAATACTTTTCATTTTCTCTATTGCTTCTAATTTTAATTTAAAATTAGAAAAAAAAATATTTAATTTAGCACAACATTATTTTTTATTAAGATTTTTATGAGTTTTTTTTTTTTTATTTCAAAAATAAATAAATTATCTACTCCAAATATTTTTTAATATGAACTTTAAACTACTCAATTTTGCGCTTTAATGGAATAGTTTTAGGGAGTGTTTGGGGCAGCTACTATTTTTCTACGAAGCAAATGTAATGTTGTTTCGTAGAGAAGCAGCTTCTCACGATCTATCAGAGAGCATTGATGGAGAAGCAAAAGTCAGTTTGGGAGATCTGTTTTGTTCCAGTTAATTCTAAAGAGAAAGCATGTTTTATCCTTATATATAATATACTTGAATAATTGTAATTTTCAGAAAGAAATTATAACAAAATAACAGAAAGAGGTCCCGCTAACAAAAACATCAGTACATTGCAAAATAATCTAATACATAAAAGGCCAATCAGTTATTTAAAGAATATAACTATAATAATGATGATAGCCACAATAACTAGCAAGACTAGAATAAAATTCTTCTTCATATCCTCATGATCAAGTCTTTGGGATAATCTCTTCTCCATGACAACATTCCTTTTGACTCGATCACTATCTGGAGTGAAGTCATCCATCTCATTAACCAAGCGAACGAAATTGCAATCCTCAGTCTCATGTCGTAATTGCCTTCTCTTCTCGACTTGTAATCAACACACCACGTTCCTCTTCAAGTTCTTGACGCTCTTGAACTCATAATTTGTGTGATTATAATACACTAAGGAATCATTTTAGAAAAAAAAATATATGTGAAAGAATCATGAAAAAAATTAAACAGCTTTACAATTGAAAAAAAAAATTAGTTTGGGCACATAAAGAAAACAACAATACAGATTTTTAGAAAGATATAGAAAGCATACATCCACACATCCAACGTATGGTTGAAATATGACTCATAAAATAAGAGATTCCTAGGTGATCCTAAATAAATACAGTTGATGAGTTCACCAAAGCATCAGTAATTTGTTCTCTTAACTGTATCATTTCTTGCACGTCTTCTTCTTCGAAAGTGTTATACTCGGTAGCACTGAAGCCCTGACCTGGCACTGAATGTATGTCCTGATGTTGGTTAGCTTTCTCAGGTATGCAAATAGGATCTTCATCTAAGGCATTGAAATCGATATCGTCTCAGGATGGATGTCTCTGTATAGAATTATGTAGTGTTGTTGTTGCAACAACTATCTTCACCTATTTTTTGAAAGGGTGTGTCGGTATATTCGGAGTATGACCTACTCCTTTCATACACTGAATGCTCTTTGAATGACACTCTCGTAATGATGAGTGTTTTTTATTAAAAAGTTCATTCCTCCTAATCACTTGGTTGTTGCACTCAAAATCTGGAATGTGATTCCTCATGTCGGGAAATGATTTCATGAAATCCCATGCAATGGATATCTCAAATTGACTAGGTAATATTTTCCTAAGTAATAACATCATTAGTGCACTTTCTAAAAAAAGATTCATGTGATATCTAAAATGTACTAACCTTGAGGAGGCACTGAAAATTTATATTCACAATGTTAGATTTTGATTTTAAAAAAAATTTTATTGTGAACTGTCCCTTCCCAACTAGCCATCCCAAATGTAAAACGCGTTTAAATCACACACTGTTAAGATATTTTGTATAACAGCTCCACACCTTATGATGTATGCAATCTTCTTCTCAATACCGATGAGTGCGTCAACATGTGTATCTTTAACTGCTCTGATGAAATCTTTAAGAAAAAATTGTTAGGCCATTATTTCCATTTATTTAATTGTACTAATGTTAGAATAAATAGAGATACAAATACCTTGAAGAACGACATATATTTCAAATCACTATGTATTTCTCGTGATGTTTGTAAAAAAACATTGTCTAAGTTTTCACAATGTTAATGGACATTTTCATCAAAAATTTAATCCTAATCACAAAGTACCTACTTATTGTCTCTGTAGAGTGTTAGAAACACTCAAAAGTAGTACAAATATACTCATTGTGTGATAGAATAAAAAGCATAATAACTAGAATTTCTTGGGATGTCAAGCGAGAAGATCCATGCAAACCATATGTGGACTGCAATTCATTGAGAAAATTACAGAAAATATGTTTTGACATCCATAACATGCTATGAATTCATCTTGGATGAGCTTCGAGAAGTTTGTTATCACATTATCACCCACAGTTAATGTTGACACACGAGGGAACTTACATAAATTTCTTTGGGAATACTCATTGATGAGACAAGTTGTTGTAGTCAGTATTGTTACTCTCTCAACATTTTTTACAATTTATTCTTCATTTGGTGGGTCCCTCTATTTAAATGATACATCTTAGAGTTTAATATTAAGCATAAGTTATTATAGAAGTGTGGGTAACTATTAAAAAGAGTCAAAATGAAAGCACTTCTACTACTCATAACATAAATTATCGATGTTGTATTTACATATTCTTACAGATATTCAACAACTTATCTACTAGATCCCTCATTAAGATTCTCAACAAGCATTCCAGGCACCAAAGTAAAAAACGTTAGATCAAGATATAAAAAAATACATTCATTACTCTTAAATTCAACATTTTGCTAGAAGTGCAACTATGCAAGTGCTAAGCTTTTAGATTAGCTAGCATAATGTTAAAAGATTTGAAGAACATGTTGCTATTAAAATATACTCCTTTTATCTCTATTTTGGACTCTGCATAATGAGATCTAGACCAGTTTTATCTATTGATACTTTCAAGCTTATGCAAAATGCTGGCATGTAAAGTATACAAGCAGTTTAACTAATAATTTCAGGATTAGTTTTTGCTTCTCAATCAATAAAAATGTACCAGAGCAATTTACCCAGAGACTATAAAAAATATAAAAATAGTTGAGATGCCTCTTCTTTACTCCATCCCTCATTTTATTTCATTGCTCTTTTTCTCTGTGATAAAATTATCCTCTAATGTCACATCTCAAGCAAAACATAAGCCTCATCTTCTGTGCACTGCAAGACTCAAATCAAAACTATAATAAAACAAAGTATATTGAATTCTCCATTAAATGTCTACCATCTATTGATTCTCTTAACATGAGAATTCTATAAAGCAGCACAAATCAGGCAAACATGTTTTGCATCACTTCTAGGTTAAATATGTATTTCAAACTTTATGGTCTTTACAAAACAACTAAATCATTATTGATTTTTTTATATTGTTTATATTTTCACAAGCCCTTACTTCAATTCAAAAGATAACACAAAGGTACACTTGTTATATACTCATATGACCATTAACAACTGCGTTCACTAGCTCAACTACCATATGATAGCAAGTCTAGCACATAAATCCCAAAGCACTATTAAAGAGGACAATAATTTTGTGAGTTCTATAGTTCCATGAACATCAAAGCATGGTCCCATCGGGTGCATTGCTGTTAA